AGACTGGTATCCCATCACCAAATCACCCTTTATTCACACGTGGAGAGTCCTTGACACTAATCCAGCTCCCTCAGAGCCAGCTCTCAGAGTGAACAGAACCTCTGACACTCCTGTTTATATCTGTCAGCCAGGGCTCCCTGATTGGACCAGGTTAACAGCCTCAATCAGGAAACTCATATTCCATGAGGTCCACCTGGCTGGCCTCGTAGCAATCTTCAATGTTCCAAGTGGTTTCGAATCCCACATTCTCACCACTTGGGATAAAGATGTCGGGACCACACCTTGGAAATTTGCTTGTTTGGAGAACACAAGAGTATAGCATTCAGCGCATCAAACCTGCTCAGTCAGTCATTTGCATCTCAGTTGACCTTTGGCTTCAATGTGATTTTCCCACCTACTGCCCGTTTCCTTCAATTTCCTGACAGACGAAAAAAATCTGTCAATCTCAGCCCTAAATATATTCAATAACAGAGCATTCACAGCCCTCTGTGAAAGAGAATTCCAAAACCTCACAACCCTTTAAATGAAGAAATGCTCCTCAACTCCATCTGACATGATTGGCCCCTTATCCTGAGACTGTTCCCCCAGTGTTCTACATTTCCTAAACAGGGGAAGAAAATCTCTCAGGATCTATCCTAACCAGTCCATTCATAATCTCAGCCTGTGATATATGTGCGTTCATTTTAATGGAGAGAAACTACCATATTACCAACACACTCCCAGTGAGGACTAACATGGCAAGGGAGTACACATTGAATGGTACAGAGGATCAGATGGTGTACATGACCACAGATCCTTGAAAACCACAGGACAGGTAGATAAGGTGGTTAAGAAGGTATATGGGCTACTTGCTTTTATTAGTCAAGGCATTTAATATAAGAACAAGGAGGTTTTGGTGGAGCTATTTGTAATGATAGTTAGACCACAACTGGAGTACTGTGTGCAGTTCTGTTTGCCACATTGGCAGGAAGAACACAATTACATGAGAGAGGGTGTGAAGGAGATTCACCAGGATGTTGCCTGGCCTGGAGCATTTCAGCGATGAAGAGAGACCAGATAGGCTGGCATTGTTTTCCTTACAGTAGGGAAAGCTGAGGTGGGGGGGAAGTCGAAGTGATTGAAGTGCACAATGTTGTGAGGGTGAAAAAGAGGGTAGACAGGGAGAAACCTTTCCCTTAGTGGAGGGGTCCATACCAGGGCCAGGTAATGAACAGGAGGTTTAGAGGTGATTTGAGGAAACAAATTTCATTCAGAGGGTGGAGTTCACTGTCTAAAAGGGAGGTTAAGAGGCTGAAAACCTTTAAGTAGTATTTAGATGAGCACTTGAAATGCCATAGCATACAAGGCTACATCCGCTAGAAAATGGAATTAGAATAGTTGAATGTTTGATTATTAGCACGGACAAGATGGGCCAAAGGGACTTTTCAATGCTGCAAAAAATCTATGACTCCCCCAGGTGAGCATGGAAACATTGCTCACATTTATTGTCCAGTCAGGCGTCTAAGCTGCTACTACTGCAGTACTACGACAGATAGGGGCTTTCATTGAGAAAATCGATTACCAGCTTCATTTCAAAACATTAGTATGGATGAATTTCAAATAGCATTCAAATAGAATTTCAAATAACTTTTAAAATCTTTTGAAATTAACTGCTGAGTGCAGCAACCTCATACAAAAAATACACAAAATTGTATGTCTCCTGACTGAACAATGTTGTGCTGATAGATTCATGGCACACGTACAAATAATTCACCTGAAACCTGGTGTCTGCTGTGCGTTGTAATACTGTGAGTGTTCCATGGGTTGCCGGCTCTGCTGTTGGGTTTTTTCTTTCTTTTCAAAGGTCTTTGTAATGTCAGTGAGCAAAGGAAATGCTCACAAGCACATTGCAACATCTCCATAACCAGCAAGCAAACATGCATGAGTAAAGCAAGCATTTCCCATCCAACAAACGCTTGTCCAAATGACTCTTTCCCATTCAAAGCAGCCTATTGTAGGGGGAAGTGTGTTTGGTACGGTGCTAAAATGTACTGTGGAAGGTGTCACTGATGAAGAGTTTTTCATTTATATAAATGATCAGAAATGATATTTAAAAGTGAGCAGGGCGGTAGGATTGGAGGAGGGAGATGACAGCAAGGAGAGAGAGAATGGTGAAGATGGGGAGGAGGGATAGGAAGGAGAGGGAGGGCGGAGAAAGGAAGGAGAGGGTGAAGAGGAAGAGGAGGATGGGGAGGATAGACAGGATGTTACAGAGCTCCATGGAAGTGGGAGAGTAGGTTCTGGAACTTTTGGACAATTTGTTCCACCACAGCACCTCACACATTGTCAGGTTACAGCATGAAGGTGAAATGTTGCTCCTGTGTTAAACTGTAGGTTTAGCAAAGAGGTTTTAAGATGCTTTTTGAATAAGGACAGGTTGGTGTCACTGACACCCCTCCAGCTCTGGGACCTGGCGCCGTGCCCCAAACTACACCCCGGCCCCCAACCCAGAATACACTTTCTGCTGCACTGACCCCTGCTGCCATCTGACCCACCCTTCCAGGACCCCCTAACCCCTCTCCTCCC